TAAACACGCCACATACGTCATACCTATGTCACAAGCAAGGAGCCTGTGTTTGTCATTGATTGCTCCATGCCATTTTTTTAGTATGATAATATCCCCAATTCATGTATTGATTTATTCGAAAATTCCTAATTCTGAATATATGTCATAATGATTAGATCAAAAGATAAGTGCCTTGTTTTACGGACAACTTAACAGAAGACGAATATATATGACCCAATGACATATACATGATATATACTTGTACCAATTGTTATATTATCACCGTGACCTTGTATCCCATTGACACATTGGACATTTCAAACACGTTACCAAAACACGCGGCACATCCCTACGCTTAACCCCCTGGGCCGGAAGGACCAGCAGCTTTTTTCTAGGGGTTTCCATCCCTTAGACGATTGCTGTTGCTAACGAATTCCATCTACCCGGAATTTCTGTTTGGATTTACTTCCATAGCTTTTGATTCAAAAATCCAATCACAAGGCAGTGATAATATTTGACCCATAGTTGGGGCAAGGATAATGAGTGCTAGGGCATGTCCAAATGCCGATGAGCCTACACACTGCATCGCTGGGGCCCTTTCTGCTCCGAGATCCTCTACAAGTATACGCCTAGGATAATATAACCTAGTTAACCGTGTGCTGTCGCGAGCAAGCACTGTAGAAGTCTTGGATAGTGTAGAGGTTTTTGTACTGGCAGGAAAGATTTACACACTGAACTCGCTTTTCACCCACAAGTGAGTTAGCCAGCTGCAATGAAAGGGTATTAACTCCCCACTGCACTAGACGCATACACAATCCCTGTGACAAGAACCACCAGCACACAAAAAAAATATGATACACTTCAATATGATTATTCTCCGTTCCGTAAGGCATTCTTAATTCTGTAATCCATTTAAATCAATAAAATCTAAGCAACATCACCTAGAAACCAATCAGAACTAGCAAACGTAATAATTTAAAGATGGCGTATAAAAATAATAGCTTTGCATCGTTATGCGAAGCAAAACATCAGGATGTATGTTTTCTTTTCCGAATTGCCTCATATCTTGTTATCTCAGTGAACTTAAATGATTACTATAAGCAATGGATGTTCATCATTGTTCACATCTTTGTTCTATTGTCTTTAAGGTAAATTTTCAAAAATGCTTTTACATTTGAATTAGTACAAAATGATAACTTGCAAACAACATATAGACATTAGGAAAGTGACCGTCTACTTATTAGTTTTTTTCATTCCAGTACCAATCAATTTGTTATTCTAAGCATCAAGTAATCACATTCATTCAGTTTACTATATTACACGGAAATAAACTAAAACAATACAAACAAGAAGTTAACAAATCTTCAAACTTCTACCAGTATCAAAATTACATTCTGACCACTAATTGAAGATACTGTATGATTTTATTCAAAGACGCCATCTTATTTTTGTCATTTATTTTTTCTGCACATTCGTGGCTGTCCATTCATTATAAAGTTATTATAGTGCGTATAACCGAGTATTGCTCCCGTTTTAGATCAGACAGCGCTATGACACGAAAGTGAAAAAGTCGGATTTCAATTCTCAATGATCTTGATTATCCTATCATTGCATGAAAACAGTCATATACGTTCGTAACAGAGTCATATGGAACGGGAATGATCCGGAGAGGTTGGCCAAACATTCCCGATAGATGGATGCGTCCCGTAACATTCGTGAACCTCAACCTATTGTCAAGTCAGATTATAATCGTGACTTAGTCGTGGAAGATTCTTTTGTATCGGATCAAAATCGTAACAATGTCCTGGGTCGTTTCACTGTCTGGTGACGATCTGGTGACTGTTTGGTCTTCAATGGAAAAGGGACGCTGTTGAGACATATTTGGTCGTGTTTTACCATGCAAAAGATATATATCGGATCAGAATCGGATAGAGAACGGGATAATTGGGACGCTTCCTAAACATTATCTGATTTCTGTCGTGATTAAATTAATGTGTTTACGACTTTCAGCCACGAATCACAGGATCTTGATCCGACTTTTGACAAATTCTAATCGGGAATGATCCTATCATCAAGGACGACAGTAAAAAACCTTATGTGTGACTAAGTCTTCAAACCAATGTACACCTATGTATATTGCTGTCAAAACAAAATTGATTTCAAAAAGAATGATGCATGTCTTGATCCAGTTTAAAGGATGTCGTGTTTCGAAACGTGATGATTAAAACTAAGTAATTAGTATTGTTCAACCTAAAATCTCAAACTTAGATTTTGATTGGTCGTGAAATCACACTTTTATTTCAAGTTCTATCGTTTACATAACCAGTGCTCTCTTTTATCACCCTCTGAAATATTTATATACCCTGATAGGACATACATTTGTCAATTAGTTTATATCAACTGTATTTGTCAATATTCTACGTTTAAACTACAGACACTATTGTGTGTTATCTTCCTAATAAATCTATCCCTTTAAAGTCGTATTATTTCGATTTAAATTCAAAATGTAATGATGCATGGCAACTAGCATAAATATTTGTGAAAAGATATATAACTACACATAGAGAATACTATTCAGATTTTAAACCATCTCATCGCATTATAGACTAATTCTTAAATGGGATTCGCTGTGCAGGTAATCATGAATATATAAAAACAACTATATTGGAGTTAGAGATGAAATTAGTTCAAAAGAGATACCAAAGGAATAATCAAACTTATAAGTCGATGACAAACACTGACATCGCCATGGCAAATCTAATCAATCAATTAATAAAATGCAAATCAATGTAAAATAAACAAAAGCAAAGGTAATCAAAAAACATCCGGATAGCAGCGATATCGCGTGTTTTGTCAAGGTAAGCGACTTCTGCTATTCATGAATCACCTGCCAATGCAAATGCATATTCAGTCAAAATGTCACAATCGATGAACAACAGATCAGACAACTATTCTGGTATCAACAGATCTAAGACACTTGACACTTCGTTGATAAAAAAAATCATAGTTTGCAACAAATAACGCACATAGCCTAAATTTGTAAATTTGTCATAAAAATTTATGAGACCGCTGACGACATTTTTTATGTGTTAACAAAATAACAAAATGCAAGTAGTAACACATGACAACTGCAAAAGAAATAAAATTTGCACATAATACAGCAATTAGCTTGACTGTCAGTGTATTGAAAAAGTTCCTTATTTGACATTTGGGAAGTCTATTGTGATATGAAAATTCAAATTTACTGGTATATTCAAATTTTTAAATCTATTACTGGTATGCAATTAAGACAATCGTTGCTCTTTTGTTGACAGAACATATGGATATTAGTTTCAAAACACAAAACGATGTTTTCATCTCAGAAATATTATGACTCACAGGCTGCTTTTTGAAATTCATTTTCAGATTTGTAACTTTGATAAATGTTTTTCTAAGAATCTATTAACAAAAAACTTTGTGTGTAAGAAACATTTTTCTTCATTTAACTTGAACTTATCAGTTAATGAATAAAACAGAAAACGAAAACTTTGTATCAATATGAAAATATTTAAGCCCTTTATAGAAATGTCATGATTCAGTACAAGCTTTATCGAGCATAATTAAGTTTGATAACTCTCTCGCCATAGATTGTTGTGTAAGAGCTGACACAAATGTAAGATAAATATAAAAAGTAAAATAACAAAATTCCGAACAGGAAGGGAAATTCAAAACGGAATGTCCTTTATAAAATGGGAGAATAAATGCTCAAACACATCAAACGAATGGAAAACAACTAGCATATTCCTGACTTGGTATAATTGGTAAATTTCTGTACATTAGGCCAAATATGAATTAGAATCTTGTCAACAGGAATATTCCAAATGAAATAAATTAAAAAAAAAAATTATAATAGAAATAAATAAAATTCTAAACAGTCTAAATTCAATTACATATTGTGGAATATACCCTTAAAATGTTCAAAAAAGAACAATTCTAAACTAAAATATAATTCTTTGAAACATATATAAACAAATATTGATACTCATAAAAAATTAAAGATTGGTTCATCCCCTTTTTCGGAGAATAAATAATCTAATTATGTTTTAATTACTATTGTCTGAGATAACTCTAACATGGTATAGTACTAGTCTCCTCTAACATTTTTCTCATTGTCATAACAGTGTAGATGGAGAATTGCAAACACTCAATTTGGTATTTTTTTGTTTTCAATATATTTGTAAATTACTTTTAGACTATGGAGAGCAATATGTGTGTTGTTTGGTTTTTATCATTCTTCAAACACATAAAACGACATTGCGTTATTATGTAATATAGACTTTTTCTAGCATTGTGTATTTTTTCCATATATTGATTATCTGACTTGAGTACTTGGTGACATTTACCTGTGTGTAGTTTAAATGTATCATAATGTGATTTATGCAGGGATTGTAAAAAGGTAAGAAAAGAAATATATTTAAGGGTTTAAAAAATAATGAAATATGTATTTGATTTAATCACCAGTGTTTTATTTTTGTGCGTTGGTGGGATTATTGGTATATTCAACAATTCAAAACACTTTTAAAAGCATACAGCAACTATTTTTAAAATCAAGTATTTTTTGTTAATGATTTTCAATATAAGCAAACTATATACTTTACTCACCATCTGTAACAAATATAATGTACTTAAATAGTTAAGGAATTAATCTAGTTAAAAATAGCATGTACCCCTTCCCCTACAACACAAACAAAAGATGTGGATGTACTGAATGTTATATAATTGATAAATCAGCTACATAGTCAATACCTCATGCAAAATCATAATATTTACCATGTAAATAGTGAAAACTACCAACAAAAAAACCTTGAAATATACACGATATATATGACACAATTGAAGTCGTCCGCCATTTTGAAAAATCCAGACATCAACAGAGTTCAATTTAAACGGTCAAAAACAGCATGCATCACTAGATCTATGTTTGAGGTATTACAATTTGCAAAGTATTAAAATAAAAATAACAATATCACTTTTATGCCACCGAAGTGCTTTTATGGATTTTCCTTCATCAGTAACGATGAACGCCTAAAATTTGAAAGTCGGATGGATAAATAATGAATCACGCAAATATAGATCTATACGACCAAAGGGACCTAAAAGTAATAGACAAATCCGTGTAAGGTCAACTTTGTCTGAGGGATTAGGAACCTTAGTTTCTTTGTAATTTCTGAATTTTTCAACGGAGAATTTAACAAAGGTTTGTTATTAATCATGTTAGGAATTTGTGAAATTAACGTTCAATTAATGGTAGGTTGTCAGTTTAATATATAGTCGACTTGCCGACGGCTTGATAAAGATATAAAGTTATTTACTGTTAGCAGGAACGTAATTAACATTAAATTAGAAGGTATGCCAAGGCCACTTTTTCGGCTACTTGAATTCATAAATCAAAAACCATATTTAAAAATCCTTTAGGTGTTCATAAGACATTTGTCTGTCGAGTATCAGTATTTATATATTTAAATTTTGACTCACAGATTGGCATTCAGGCTTCAAACTTCTTACAGTTTGTGCAAAACAGAAAAAAACTGCTAAAATAGCCTCATTTTTCTAATCTTGTCATTAATATTCAGATATGTAGCAATTAAAGGGGCAAAATAATAGCTCTTATCATACCTTTTACTTTAAACTATCATGATTAACACTTTGAAAGAATAAGTTTGAAGACAAATGAATCAGATGCAAAAGGTCAAAAACGGGTTCGAGAAGAAATTTAAAGGGCCTTTATAATCTCTATGGTAATGATTAAGATATATGGCGGATTGTCCACGTGATATCTTATTTTATAGTTGGGTATAAGAAAGAGTGTTTCAAATGTATGACATGCCATTTAAAGAAATTCTGGTTGCTAAAGCACTTATCGACGAAATATTCGATTGTAAGTTAAAAAGAAGAATAAGAAATGTTGAAATGCAAATAATATTTGGCGGAAAGGTAACCGGAAGGAAGGATATCGCGTCTATTACTTCTATAGATATCACTGTTATAATGTATATGTAAACATTATTTGCTCATCAATCAGATCTTGTTTCCACAATTTGTTGCTTCACAAATCGTTACACTGGCAGTTACACAATATGAGGGTACACATTTGATATTTCGACTTAACGTTTTTATAATTCTATCGTAGTTTTGATTGATACCATCTGGAGGCGTTGTAATTGATTTAAAGTTCCAATCAGAAGTCCGTACTTATTTTTCACATTTATACAATTATTGCCACTTACCGACCGCTAGAGAACATCCTCGGACTCAAGATTGTTAAACACACCGGTAGTTGCAGAATTACCAATTTTCAAATAAATTTTTCACCCATGGGACCAAACTACAAAAGTTGAAGATACGAAGTGTAATTCTAATATAAAAAGGTCTGAATAAATAATATCCATAAAAATATAAATGCTATTAGATGCTACACAATGCTGTGTGAAAATTAACTCTACCTCTTTTTTCCATGGTATCTATAATGAGGTTATTTACAACCACTTGGTCGATGTCACACTTGTGGAAGTTAACCAGCCCAGTCGTCAGTACTTCAGTGTTGACATAAATTATCATTGATATGGTCATAATTATGATTTAACTATTTACAAAACTTTGATTATTTTCGAAATACAAAGGATTTTCTACCCCATGAATAGATTATCTTAGCTTGATTTGGCAAAATCTTTCAGAATTTTGGGACCTCAATGTTTTTCAACTTTTTAATTTGACCTTCTTGACTTATTTTTATTACAGTGCCACTGATGAGTCTTTTGTAATCGAAACGAGCGTTTGGCGTACAAAATTTCAATCCTGGTATCTACGATGAATTCTTTCCTTAACGACACTTGGTTTTTTTAGAGTACAAACATACAGAAATTTTGAATTTTTTTTTTTAAATTCTATAGGTCAATATAAAGCCATTTCCCATCAATTTATTTTATATTTTAGTGCAAAACCAAAGATTGATATCCAGTAATAATATATTACAATTCCAACTGACTTTTGGGTATATATTTTCATTCTCATATTTCCAGTAAAATACATTACCAGAATGCATTGTAAGCCATGTGAACAGAACGGTGATGTTATACTTGCTGAAACTTGGTGCATTGAATGTGAGGAAAGATATTGTGCAGCTTGTATCAAAGTTCACAAAGTCACAAAAATATCAAAGCATCATCAATTAATTTCTATCGCTGATCGACATAAAGCAGGTAGTTTAGAAATTAAAAGAAACTGTAATGAACACCAAAAGAAATTAGGATTTTTCTGTACCCAACATGACACAATTCTGTGTTTGAAATGTGTGCAACTTTTCCACAGTAGTTGCGACATCCTAGAACTCAATGATGCCTCAAAGGGTGTCAAAACATCTACAGCATTATTGGATTTGGAGTCTTCTATCAAAGAATTACTGGAAAACTTAGAAACAAGCATACAATCATGCAAGGAAGCTGATGACGAACTTAAACTTCAAAAAGTAAAAATAGAGATGAAAATACAAGCTTTTCGTGAAAAAATTAATAAGAGACTAGACACTTTACAGCAGCAGTTAATACAAGAGGTTATGTCATGTTTTGAAAAACACCAACTTCAACTAGTTGAGTATCAAAACAACTTTTTACTTCGAGAAAAAAAATTAATGGAAAGAAAGGAAAAAACTTATATATTGAAAGCCTTCGCGTCTGATGCCCAAGCTCTAATTGGGATAAAAGAAATTGGTGCATCAGTGTTGAAAGATAAGCAATTTATAAAAGAAGCAGTCAGTAAGTTTCCTGTTCATACAATTACTTTATCTGTTGATTCTCAACTGGAATCACTTCTAACGGAACTGAACAAATTTGGTGCCATCAAAGATGAAACATCAGTTTGTGCAAAATACTACATTGAACCAAAGGATAAACAGGTTCGGCATTCGGATATCTGTGTTCCAGTTTCGCAGCAAAGAAAGAAATTTCAATTACAACTGAAAGAAAAAATATTTATACAATCCGGTTACCACACAATGAATTTGACAAGCTGTGTAATATTACCAAACAATAAACTGATGTTCGCAGACGGCAACAACAGAAGATTAATTATACATGACGAGGATGGACGATTTGAGCATTACATTCAACTGACAGATCAACCATTTGATGTCACTGTTTTGAATGAGACCACCGTATATGTAACATTCCGAAGAAAATCAGAAGACAAGAACATTTTTGTTGCGTATGACTATCAAACATATCGACTTAGGGAAACGATAAGTATTTCAGCAGAGAAGAACAGTATTTCTCTTTGGGGAATAAGTCATAATGACGAATGTGAGTTGTTTATTGTGACATACCCAGAAGGTATCAAGATAATAACGGATGATATGCGAGTGGAAAAACTTATTCCTATCAATATTCACAACAAATATAACCTTACAATAAATAAAGATAAAATGTATTTAACAAGAAGAGACAATAACACTTTGTATTGCTATAACACATTCGGGAAGAAGCTTTGGACTTTCACTGAGGAAAAGCTGAAATGTAGTTCAAATTCATCAGTACCGCTGACCTCCGATAGTCAAGGAAATATTTACCTCGCCTGTCCGTTGGAAGACGTTGTTCTTCTTGTATCAAAAGAGGGAAAACACCACAAAACTGTTCTTGACAGATCAGATAACATTAGCAATCCACGTGGTATTTTCTTTGACAAGAAAACAAGTCGACTTTTGGTGTGTAGCCAAGATAGTGGCCATGCTGCATTGTACGATGTTGTTGGGGAACATGAATGTTTCTGAGATTGTGGCTTCTCGCCTGTGAATGAACATATTTTTTCAAAGTTAAAATATTAGGATAAGACCGGATGACAGATTTTTATTACTCTCGTGTTTAAATTGTCGATGTTTCAAAAGTCACTATTAAATGACTCTGTAAACCAGATGATATAAAGTCGGATTCAATTTCATTTCTATGTATTCGATATTTTATGAACCAAAAAAAAACAAAAATTTCTAAATCTTGTTAATGTTCAATTGCAGGGACTCATAATTTAATTTTTAAACAGAAACAAACTCTTAAAGCCATTTGTAAATTTCTGGCTAATAATTTGTGACAAAGAAAGCATGTACGTTGATTTAAGCCCCAATGGATTTTCAAATATCAATTTTTGCATTTTGCTTGAAGATTTTAAATTTATTTTCTTTTGTGAACTTGTTTTTAAAACCGGCAAATGAAATCGTCAAATTTCATAAATGAATAGTAAATGATATTTAAATATAAAAATATTATTTAAAAATGTATGCATTATTTTAGTTGCCTGATTTCATATTTAAAAAAAAGGTTAAACAAAAAGGAACAAACCCAACTATCCTGGCAGGTTTGTTTAGTTTTCGACATCGAAAGTCATTATAGGAAACCATTAATTCGGTTTTAGAAATATTGAAAGGGTTCCTCCATTATCGTCAAGCTATACCAGCAATAGCATCAGTGTAAACTTATCAAAAATCTTTATTTTGGTCTTTGACGAAATAAAAAAAAAGACGACGAATAACGCTAGTATCGTAAGAATTTGTAAGATTTACAAATGTAGAATTTGGAACGTTATGCTGAGAAATTTTCGGCACATACAGCTTTTTTTGCTTAAAACTAGTTATGTTCACATATATTTTCTTACATGTATGCTCCTGTGACTAAAATTGCTTGTGTTCCCTGTTAATTTGTTATAGCCACAATGTCGTCATCCTTTCTTCGTGAACGATTAGTAGACAAAAATGACATATCTTAAGATTTTTACTTTCCATGAGAAATTCAATGGGTGCCACTTAGGGGAAAAACCCTACTCTTCCGTAAAACCAGATTTCACTTTAATCGCTCAGGTTTTTTTCCTTTGATATATGTTTTTGTTTTACTTATCGTTGAAGGGCTTCCAAAATATCGTATATGACCTTTTTTGGTAAAACTACTTTTTCACAAAAGCTGTTTTGGCGAGGGGGGGGGTATGTGATATTCTAAAATCAAAACATTGGAAATAAAACATGTGACAAAATTGCCGATCTCAATTGTGTGTAAAGTTTGCTTCAAAAAAGTGTATGTAAACTTAAACATGTTAAAAATTGTTGTATATTGACTTTGGGATTTAAAAACTTGCACATTTCTTCATTTCTGTGATAATAAGACTAGTTTTTGTGTTATCCAGAAATGTCTAAGTTCTTATTATACAGCAATTCACAAAAATGTTCAAGTTTACATACGACTTTTTGGAAGCAAATATTTCAATCAAATTTTCAAAGGCCTTTTATGAGATTTTTTTGTTATTGAAAAATTGATGATTCACTTGATATTGAAAGCCTAGATCTTATTTGACTACCCTTTTGAAATTCCTTATCTTTACTATTGAAAATTTTTGTATTTAATTTGTGCTATTTTTAAATTATTTATCCACTTAACTTAAATTGTACTTTATCGAGAAAATGTATACTATATCTTGTATGTACTATCAACTAAAAAAACTTTTTTGTCGGCGGCTTTGTCAGATTTACTTTCGACTACAATAACTTTTTAGTTGGCGTATTTGTTAGATTTAAATTTTATAATTATTTGAATCCTTAGTCAGTTGTGTTTTATATATGTGATGTATGTTTAAAGATGGCTGCTGGTTCCTAATTATTGTTAGATTAACCTTTTATGTAGGTTTGAGTTGCTCACCCAATTTTGCCAATATAACGGAATTATAAACAAATGACATACAAGGGGAAGTTTTAGCTAGCTATAAAACTAAGTTAATATAAATAAAATGATGTGGTATGAGTGCCAATGAGACAACTATCCATCGAAGTCACAATGTTTAAAAAGTTAACAATTGTAGGTCAAAGTACGGCCTTGGCTCACACCGAACAGCAATCTATAAAGGGCCACAAAAAGACTAGTGTAAAACAATTCAAACAGGAAAACCAACGGTCTAATCTGTATAAAAAACGAGAAACGAGAAACATTTATGAACCACACCAACAAACGACACCACTGAATAACAGGCTCCTGACTTAGGACAGATGCATAAAAATGCCGCGGGTTTAAACGTTTTAACACGCGCCAACCTTCACCCTAACCTGAAACAGTTGTATAACATTACAACATAAAAAGACACACAATGAAATATCAATTGAAATGGCTTAACTCGATCAAAAAGACAATACACAAAAACAAGAAAATATACACTGAACGAATAAGTTTCATTTATGACTCAATATAAAAAAAAAGATGTTTCAATGTCAAAAAGACAACTTTAACCTAGGACAAACTGGCGTTAAATAAAGTAACGTACACAGGTACATTTAAATATAATAATTTTGTTGTTAGGAGTACAGAAACATTTTTTACAAAATAAATTTGTTATTCATAGAACGAGTACAGAAGTGAAATCTTTTTTCGTCATACTAAATACTTATAAAAATAGTTAGGCGAGATATAACACGAAATAAGTAAATATTCAGAAATGCATTACAAATTGTGTCAACAGGTCAAATTAACACGAAAGTACGATTTGAGAGTACTCGCAGTTAATTAAAGATAGTTAAAATCCAAAAAACAATTAATAATAAAAAATCATGCATCAGAGACTAAAATCAATTAAAACAAATCCCAGGCAGGGATTTAGTGTTGTAACGCCATGGACAGTCAAAGAAGACATAACTTGTGCAATGCCAAAATAAAAGTAACGACAGGCTGTAGGATAGTTAGGATTTAACCTTATAATAAATATGTATGATGTTATGTATAGATAAAACAATTTCTAAATAGAAAATAAACGTGGATGTGTATATACATCCCAAAAACCATTCGAAAAGAATACAAATTAAATTTTGTTTTAATTTGTTGATAACAAAATCGATGTTAGTGCCAATGAAAACACTATTCAAAGATCTTATTTCAACATTAATAAGATAACCTTTACTAATAAAATTGTTGAAAGGTTCGATAAGTTTACACGGATCACATAGTCAAATTACTGTATCACTAGCCTGTCAACACTGAGGTTTTGAGTTCGAATCCGGCACGTATTCCAATTTTAATTGACTAGGATTGTCAGTTTTCCTACCGAAGGCCCGTGGTTCTCTCCGGGCACTCGGCTTCCTCCAGCACAAACAAGGCTAAAGAGATAATATACAAGAGAAATCTGAAAGAACAGAAATGTTCAGAAAGTCGGTTCCTACCTACTTTCCATCTGTTTAGCAAAATTTTCAGTAGACTAATTGTAGGAGTAATTGTGGATAAAATGAGGATTTTTACCTAGTATGTTCTGCCATTTTGGCTTTTATATCGAAAATTATAACAGATAATAGGCAAAAATCATAAGCGGGATAAACTCATCAAATAAACTAAATTGTCGAGATCGTCAGTCGACCCTTAATAGGGATTTTTACCCTGGAATTACGATTTATATTCATATTAGTGTTTTATCTTCTTTTCATGATTTCTGACAAAAAACCTTAACTCGATGTGAACAATAATGTTTGTCAACTTATTCCATAGATTTGATTTCCGACAGTTAAAAGCATATGAAACGAGTTTCTTGTAATTTTAATGTTAAGGACATTTTTGAACCAATGCATGCATATCTACTAAACTAAGTCCTCGTTTTTCACATTTATTACGATTCAACAACGTATTAACGACAAATAATATTTCGATTCAATGATTGTTGATCGAAAGCTAATTAGTTCTCGAGTTTGTTGCCGAAGTTTACCGGGTCGTGACCTTAATAAATAATCAACACAGAATGAACAAGCACGTGAAAAATAAGTGAATTGATAGAGCGATGTTAACTTTTTATATATATTCCATGCGTTCCTATTTGTCAATTTAACTTTTCCATACCAGTTACATGTATTAAAAGATCTGGGATATTTGATTTGTTCCTTAAGGATAAGTGATTTCAATTCACCTTCCAGTGTACGTTTGTTTACATTCTTTCATTACAGGATTTCCCTTGCACTTGATATGTGCGGTGGCTGAAGTTCTTACATTGTACGAGATGTCTGGTAGTTAAGGTCACTGCGTAGGGAAACATATCGGCGAATTAGAGTACGGGAAGACAATGATTGAAAAGCAATACAAGATTTTAATAAGATAAAGGATTTTACTTTACAAGAACGTCCACGTTCGTTTGTTTTATATTGAAACTTAGCCATTCAAGTTAATAAAACATATTCAACTTTTTTTTAAATTTGAAATATCATATGGCTTTAATGTTGTAAAGTGTATTTCTGTTTATCTATGGCAACATTCTGTATTTATTTGCCAAACAATATGTACGAAAACGTATGCATATGTCATATGTTACATGTGTCGCATGAATTTGGTTAGAAGTTTCGAATAATTCAACATTTTATAACCAGTTAATTAACAAAAAATTAACATAACTTTTTTAAGAAGTAGAATTAGAAACAAAACAAAACTTCTTAAAATTTTTCGACCAAATTACCACAACTCTAACTGATATCAGAAGGATCTCTTACTTTATAATCACAATATTTTTGAAAATATAGAATTGCATATTCATATATACTTTGCGTATTATTATTTCTTAGAAAGCTGTTTGAGTTTTTTTTTTAAGCAGATGGTAGTAAATATATTAAATGCATACACCGTCAAAATTTCATGTTTGTCTATTTAATATTTTCTTAATTTCTTCAAAATACTGGTCTGGACATCTGTTTTATATATTGCCCTTTCATACTATTTTAAACTGCTAGGTTTTCTTACATATATTTCGATGTACCCCGTGCCGTCTATCATTTGTTGTTTACTTTTATATGAATTGTCTATCATTAATTGTTTCGAATGTATTGGTCTTTTGTTGGGCAATGTATGACAAATATATGTTGAAAAACCTCGCCCGTAATTATAAATTATGTAATTCATTGACCGATCCCGACATGTGTAACTTCAAAGCATATTTTAGCGGCGATCGATGTATTTCAAAATTACTGCACTTTTCTTGTATCCCTGGTTTCGACTGGAGAACCGTCCGTACATACCATGGCATTGTTACATTTGGTGTTCTTTGTTCTTACAGTTATTATTTGACAGAATAAAATTATATAGAAATATTTAACGGTTATTGCATAAATAAATATTGTCCCGAAACGAATATACTGCAATGAATAATAGTTTGTAATGGTTTTGCAATAACCATATTATGATAAAAAGTAAAATAACAAAAGTACCGAAAATTCAAAACGGAAAGTCAATTATCAAATGGCAAAATCAAAAGCTCAAACCCATCAAACCAATGGATAACAACTGTCATATTCCTGACTTGGTACAGACATTTCCTTATGTACAAAAAGGTGGATTAAACCTGGTTTTATAGCTAGCTAAACCTCTCCCTTGTGTAATAGTTGCATAGAATTCCATAATAGACACTCAGTAGACAAAGGATATAAGCAAAAATGAAAGACAAGAATACACAAAAGGACCATAGCTCTATAACACTATGGCGGGATGTATAAATACCGAGCCACGCCAAAAGGATATTACCAAAATTGGACTAAACAGTAAAAGTTATACATATTCAAAGACAAATGAAAAAAAAACCACTATAATACGTAATTAAGATGATAAACAACGTCAGTACCTAGAATCTATACTTCAAGATTATCATGTATTATTTGTGAAGTTGATATGGAATATTTATCTACAAGGTCTTGGTATCTTCCGATGAAGGTTTTTAAGAAATAATTACACCTTATATAAGAAAGCCAGATTTTGATTGGTTGATAGCCAGTGTATTTTTTGCATATTCTAATATTTTTTCATCATTTCAAACGAATTTGCCTGTTTTTCACCACTGCCGGTGAATTTGCCTCAAATACCATGGTATTTGCCATTTTGGATATTCCTTTTTTACCCTCTCGAGCATTTTCCCGCCAAAATTTTTCGGATATGACGTTACATAAAAAAGCGAGCTAACGCGTATTAGTACATGTATAATTCCCGCGGTTCCATGATAATATCCTCTTATCCTCAAAATTATGCATAAACATGTTAATGAATTAGTTTCAATCCAAATCTATTCGGTGTAATTAAACAGATATATCATGCTATGGAGGGTTATTAGCGAAAAATACCAGTCTTGGGACCGAATTTCCCTCGCCTAGCGACTCGAGAAATTTTACAGTCCCTTGACTGGTATTTTTCGCAAATACCCCTCCATAACATGATATATCTGTTCAAGATAACTTTCTGCTCAGACACTGGCACGACGTTTTATAAAGTCTGAGTAGCAGCTGTAAGCTCTTGAATACCGAATGAGTTAGGAAATGTTTATCCCATATACAGGTTTAGTTGGTAAATTGGTGCTAAGGTGCAAAATTAAAATCGTCTCGTTTGTCATAGACTCTGATACTGAGATGACCGCTTATGTCAAATTCGAGGTATAAGTGTAAAAAATAGGCGGAGGAAGCCGTGTGTGTTGTTTTTTTAATTTCTAGTTTTGGAGGATATATTAATGGAACCCAATCAGAAAAGTTAGGATTGTTCATGGAAAGAATATGATCAATATATCTGAATGTGAAATTAAATGATCTGATCTTCTTGTTTTCGACAAATGTCTGAAGGAACTCTGACTCATATGAAAATAAGAAGAGGTCGGCAAGGAGAGGTGCACCGTTCGTTCCCATAGAAATGCCGACATTTGGTTGAAAAAGGCTACCGCCAAATTCAAAATATGCCGTATGGTATCCAAAGCAATAAATTTATAGCGTATGCTACCATTTGTATATTGAAAAGCGTTGTGGATTATTTCTTTTAAACGATTTCTTAATTTGAAATGGGGAATGGTGATATAAAGGCTTGAAAAATCAAAGGTTTTGATAGAATTACCTTCAGAGAAAGACCGAAATTTTAAATTATCCAGAAGTTCTTTATAGTTTATAGAATCTACATATAATTAATATCATTATGCGAGTAAACAGTTTCACAGTATTTCTGATCACCTATTACTGCGGACAGAATTTTTGTTTATCTAATATATTTCCAAATATTCTAATACAAAATTTTACCTTTACACTTTGAGTTCAAAAGCAAAATTATGGACATTTCAATTTATCCAATCTGCTTTGCACCAACTGCAATTGTTCTGTTATGTTTTTCTTTGTTCGCAATATCGTTTCAAATGTTTAGAACCTTTTTAGACCTACCTCACGTTTAGGGTAAAGAAAGCAAGCAAAATCTTTTCTGGACTGCAATATTTGTTTTCATCGATTCGTGAATGCTTAATGTTTATACATTTTCTTTTACCGAATAATTTAGTTAAAAATAATCGCCGTACTGTATATTGATTTTTGAATGGAAATATCTTATAATTTATTATGATAATAGATATTTGCTAACGTGTGTTCTTTGTTCCCTGCTTTAAAATCAATTAAAACATTTTTGAAATTATTTTATCTTATACATATAAATTAGATGCTTCAAGTAGTCTGAATCGCTTACCTGCTTTGTTGTATAAAGCTCATACATTGCAAAACAAAAATTTGTTTGAAATGGAAATTTGTGTGAGCCAAAACATTGACTTCTTTTTGTCTTTCGATTACATTTTGCAAGATAATAGAAACAAATTTGCTCTTTCTATAATTACAGTGTCCACCAAAAACGCAAAAATGGGTTAAAAATCAACTGACAACTTCGGCAACTTTTACTACTTTGTTATTATTTTGCTGACTATTTTATTGCATACATTTTCTCACCATCTATATTGTGTTAACTAAAACCGCAAACAAAAATGGAGTAAACCGTCACTGAAGTGCAAAAAGGAGTCAACTGGCGATTTTGTTCATTGGTACTATTTATTTTTTATTTATCAATTTTTACTGTTAAAAGTTCTTTCCAACCATTTCAGTTTTGCAGATTACAACCAAAAACACGAAAGGAGTCGACTGACCATTTAGGCCATTTGACTTATTTCTAAATCATTTCTCTCTGATCTTTTTTTCTTTTTTAACAGTTTAACCTTTCCTTCTATTTGTTATAGTTTTCAAGATAATAGCCAAAACGAAAACAAATGTACAATTTTCATTTACTAATGACTTTCAGAAGAAGTGGTCTGACAAATCAAAATGGGCAGTTGTTTAAACTAGACATTCTGAACTTTTTTTCTTTATGGGTTTTAGCATATCATATAATATATACTTTCATTTGACCCGTGTGTTCTATTTTTAGCCATGGTAGCCATGTTAATAGGCATTTTGTATCATTGGATACATTTTAAAAACTACTTATTTTGACTTAAAAGAGAGGAGGAAGATACCAAAGTGATACTAATATTCAAACTCAGAAGTCGAAGACATACTGTTAACGTCATGTCAAAAACGAAAATGATGAAAGCACTGGTAATAGTCACAAAATGCAATATAGAAAAACTCGAGACTGACCAACACGACCCCCAACAAAAACCTGGGGTGGTCAGAGGTGCTTCGGGAGGGTAAGCAGATTTTGCCTCCACATGTGACACCTGTGTTATTTATGTAAGTACAAATTGGGTAATAAAAGGAAACTCATAAAAAATACCAGGCCAATTAATTGTGTACGCCAGACGCGCATTTCGTCTACAAGTTTTATTCGATGATGTCTCATTCATTCGAGGAAAATAGGCCGGGCTGTGGTTAGAACATATTGGTGGTTATCTGTTTAACAGATTTTCTATAACGGTCAACTAACTCGTGATGGCTTTTAGTTAAATTTCGAAGAGGTTATTTCAATTTTACCCCTTGTAACCCTTGGTTTGATAACTTCTTTGTAAGCAGCAACCGTCTATCGAAGCTCCGGAATATCGTATCGTCTGGAAGATATATACTTCTTATGTAGGTGCTGCTGGAATGTTGCTAAATAGAAGTTTAAATTTGTCAATTAGGCAGCTGAAGTCATTTCTTTTGTCGTTAAGTTTGGTTCCAATTGTCCCATTGAAAAGTTAACGGCCAGGTGCGCTAAAAATTACATGGTCAGTTTCATTTTCTTTGAAACTGTGTTGTAATAAACGAGTAGTATTTAATATTTTCAACGAAATAATTTGCCTCGAATTAAATCTCAATGCTATTTGTAGTAGCTGTAAAATTCAGCGCCAACACCAGACGAATAAGTTTTTGGTTTAAAGTTTCGTTGGAAAAAATATTAAATAAATATTCTAAAAGTATTGCATAAATAATTTTAATAAGTATTTTTTGTACAAATCATAAAGAAATAAAATGAAATATAGTTAAAGGTACACTTAGCATGTTACATTTGCAAGAAACACTGCAGCTGCGAAAATCAGATCACAACCGAAAAACCTGTTCAGAGTTTTATCACAAAAATTAAGATTTATTAGGTTCTCCTGATATTTCTACTTCCGTTACACCAGTGACATCACACAACTGTTTACAATGAAAATTTGCTATAATTTCTCTTCTCCCAGCTCTTCGAGGCTTGATTTGGATCGTTTCTCGAATTTCTTCGTTGGGATTTATCGGTTTTCTGCAATAAATTAAACGTTAAGTAATTCCAAATATAAAAAAAAAATACTTAAAAACATACTTTTATATGTGCTTCAACTTTACATTACATTACATTATGGCATATCAGTATTCAGAGGAACTTCAGCATCATTCAGATACATAACTGGATACTTTAATACTTTATATTTTCATCAAATTTGATAAGTTATAAGCATAATATTCATCCTTATCCTGTCGACACATCATGTCTGCTACTTTATGACTTCATGTTAATCCTTCATTTTGTTTTACCTGGATTTGTATATTAAAACCGAATTTCCGAACATCGCTATACTACTTTGCCGCTTAAAGTTATTTTTGTTATACAAGGGTAAAACTTTGTCCATGTGACTCCAGACTACTGCATTGCTATACCTAACATGCATCTTTCGTCTTTTGTTCAATAGTTTCTAATTTCAGATTTCCCTTTTTTACAGTTGGTTCGGTTTTTTCTACTTGTTTTTTTTTTTTTGTGGATATACTTCAAACGGTTGGTAACAATTCCAGTGCTCTCGACACGTGTTTCTGTAATACACTTCCCTGTGTACGTTCGAGACAAAAGTTTGGGAAAAAATTCATTAAA